TAAGCACAATTTTTCAACTTTGACATGTGTTAGAAAAAAAACCGTACATATCATCCCAACTACTTTGTACATCCAGATGAATTATACCTTGTTTTTTTCAGGACAAATTGGGCTTTTATTTGGTGATAAATGGTAATGGATATCTCCTTTTTTATTATCAAAGAAAAACTGGCCCAAAATAGTAAAAAAAAGAATTGTTTTTTAAATGTAGCTGTATATTTCTTGCTGCTACTCTGTAAAAAATACCTAGTCAGAAGCTCCGCCCGACTAGTCACTTCTTAAATATTGATAATGCCTGCCTTTGGGTAATGACTTCACCTGTATTTTCATTTACATTTAGCTCTCGGTGGTGATAGTAAGAACTACTTGAATTTTCCGCATGTGTTGCTAATGTTACTGACACTGACGTAAATACTTGTCTGAATTAGGTGCAGGTAGTTCTTAAGGGAACTACTACCAGAAAATTGTCATTGAGTTATGTTGATTTCCCCTGATTATATTTCGTGTCATAGGCAAAGGAAACTTTCTGTGTTGATGTTCAGTCTAATAAAGTAGTGTATATATCTGCAATCTGTTTGATTGATGTGTCTTAATAAAGTGACATGAATCTAAAGTTTTATTTCAAAGGACCATCCAGTTTTCAGCAACTACTGTAATAATAGCAGGTCATTTCAGGCAAAGAGCAATTCTATAATCCTATTATGATATCTAATGGCAGCACATCATTTTTCAAAAGAGGAGGATGAACGCAAATGAGCTTTTTAGAATTTATAACAAGGACATTTCAATGTTCACTTTTAATTCACTAAATGATTCCATCAGTCTTAATTGGAGATTAGCTTCTGCATTTCCCTTTAAATGACCTATATACATGAAACCTTGTTATAAATAAAAAAATTTAAATTTAGGTTAGGACACAGGTAGGAGTAAATATGCTATATTCTTAACCTCTTCCTGACCGCCCTTTAGCAGATACACTGCTACAGGGTGGCACGGGGTGCGCAAAATCACGTATATACATACGTGATTTTGCATTTCTGGGTAGGGGGTGCTCGCCCTAACTGCCATTCGCAGCCGCCAATCACGGGGTCCTGGCTGGTGATTACTTGCCAGCGCCCGGTGATTGCCGAGCGTTTCCAACGGGGGGAGGACAACTGTATGTAAACAATACAGTTCTCCTGCCTGTCAGCTCGTGCACACTGCTTTGGATGGCTATGCACGGCACAGTCATCCAAAGCAGTGTGATTACAGTGAAGCACAGACACAAGTAAAACAGCACACAGTTAACCCTTTGATTGCTCGACATGTTAACCCCTTCCTGCCCAGTGCCATTAGTACAGTGTCTGTGCTTTTATTTTAGCACTGATCACTGTATTGGTGGCGTAGGGGATGTCAGTGACACCAATTCAGTTCCCCCCAGTGTCAGAAGGCCCGCTGCAGTCCCACAGTCCTGCTATAAGTCGCCGGTTGCCACCATTACTAGTAAAAATAAAAATAAAAATAAATTTAAATTTCAGTATCTATACTTCCATCCAAAAACAGACAGGTGATCAAATACCACAAAAATAAAGCTCTATTTGTGGGAAAAAAAGGACGTAAATTTAATTTGGGTGCAGCGTTACATGACTGTGCAATTGTCAGTTAAAGTAACGCAGAGCTGTAATGCAAAAAAATGGCCTGGTCAGGAAGGGGGGAAAATCCACAGGAGGGCAAGTCGTTAAACAACTTTGTCTTAAGCTGAGCTACCAGCAGAAGAGGAATTACAATGGGTGGTATCAGGGCCAGGACAAGGGGTGAGGAGGGACAGCTGCCCTGGGAACAGCAGAGCAAATGGGCAGAGAATGGACACAGGGCAGTAAACCCATCCTATGGCAAGCATTAACAGTGGGGGAGGGGTGCAGTTCTGCATCCTTGCCCTGGGTGGTAGATGAACTTGGTACAACCACTTTCAGATTTAAAGTGAACTTGAAAAAAAGGAAATTGGAGCTGCTGTTGCCAACTTGTTTTTAATTACAATGAAGGCTCAAGGGTTGTCATTTTGATCCAGGCTTTTGTACTACCTAGTGAGGCATGGATCTAAACAAAAATGACGTAGAACTGGAGGTCAGAGTTTAAGACTTCGCTCCAGAATAGTAAATCACTAGAAAGTAAGGACAAGATCAGGAGGACAGACCTGGAGCATGCACCTTTAAAGATGAGTAATGGTGGTTCTTGTATTTCTGTCCTCACAGGTTCACTTTGATTAATTAAATCATAACTGTTTCTGAAATATACAGTCTACAAGCAATGTAAAAGTTGTATATTCAGAGAAACATACAGTAGCTGGCTGTAACTGTGCAGATGCTTCTAAATGCAAGTGTCTTTTGGGATCATGCAGGTGAATTTATTACACTAATAAGGTGCTGCATGTTTAAGTCTATATGCTGATAGCGTAGTTTTAAGGACTCAATGCAATCAATCAACCATGTGAAAAACTCTTTTTTAGTGATATATTACTTAAAAACACAGAGCCCTCTGTAAGAAGAAATAGGCCAGAGGGTAAAGGTATAAGCCAATGCATTATGTTGCCCTACAAATGTCATTCTGCATTACCTGTGTTCAACTAAATAGCATTACACAATACAATATGTAGACCCATAGCTATAATAAATGCTACAAACATAGTTCAATATAAAAATCAATTGACATTTGCTGCAGTGTAATTCCTGAAGGCTGTAATTACTTTATAAATAATTGTTACACAGAAATATACAATACATTATTTATTTGGACCTAAAGCAAAAAAAATAGCCAAAATGACTATTTTCCATATCTTTCTTCAAATTCTTTTACAGTAAAAGCGTGTTATTTTTTTATGTAACCATTTTAAAAATACATAGCCCCCTCCAGGCAAATGTTATAATCTGCGTACTACCATTTTAAAAATACACTTTTATGTTAGCTCCCTTCCAAGCAAAGGTACATATTACATTTGGGTGTATTTATTAAAAAGATGCATAGCAATTCACCCATTTAAAGTGCATTTGTTCTGTGTAAATGGGGCTAAAGTAATTTATTAGGATATTTCCTGTGCTGGTCAAATGTTCTTTTTTGATTTAAAGTGGTTGTAAATCTCAGACATAAAATATGAACAAAGAATATCCTTATATAGTGTGTGCTTGTCTCAATGCAGAGCACTAAGTGTAATTTCTGTCTGCTGCCTCATTCCTCTGTTATAAGCAAAAGTCAATTCTGACAAGTGTTCCTGACACCAAGAGAAGAAAGGTGACAGGGGAGGGACAGCCAGTAGATTGACAGCCTAAGCTCTGTTCCTGTGTGATGTGTGAAGGGGGGAGGGATGTCCCTTCCCTCCAATCCCCTCTGTTTCCTTACTGATGTAACACCAGCTCTCCACCCCTGCTTTTCAGAGCTGAGAGATCCTGTGTAAATTTTGCATTTTGAATGGATGTAGGGGAGAGATGGTTGTAGATAAATAGATACAACTTATGGAGGATGATTTGTTTTATCTCTCTGTATCACCTGAGGCCAGTCACTTCACTGGGTTTTAAATGAGGGTTTGCAACCACTTTAAACAGAAAATATAGCATCTGACTATTAGATGGCGTCAAGCTCCAAATGTAGTATTTTCTGCTTTAAATTAATGGAAAAACATTTGACCAGCAGAGGAAACAGCCTAATAATATTCTTTTTTTACCCCATTCAAACAGAATGGATGTACATGCACTTTCACTGAGTGAAGTGCTATGTGAATTTTTTCAGAAATACACCCTAATGTGTTTCTCTGATTGGGGAGGGTTTTTTAGGTAGTAGTTGTAAACCAGGCAGTTATTTAATATTTGCTTTATAAAACCTTGTTTGCATCAGGGGAGCATAATTATTGTCATAACTTGTGTAAAATGTTACACTGGGAAAAAATTTGTTGAGAAAAAATTTCAACAAAAATGTTTTTGAATTGTTAAGAATATGTATCATTGTAAAATGACTTTTTTGTTGAAATATTAGTCTTAGCTTTCTGAAATTAGCATAGTACTAACCAATACGAATAAGAAACCTTTAGGCCTGGTGCACATCTTTGCAGCAACGCACTACAATCTATGTTTTCTATGGGACACGTTCACATCTATGCATTTTCAGCTGCTGCTGTGTCTCTGGAAAAGGTCAGGGACTTTTTTCCCATGGCAGATTGAGCTTTTGGTGCAATAGACTTGGAACTGCACCAAAAATGCAAGTGTTGTGTTTTTTATGTTTTGCATTTTCTTTTCCCAATAGAAAAGTATTGAGTGCGTCTTTGATGTAACTTTACACATATTGTTAAAACTGTAGACAAATTCTAAATCTGGGCATGTAAATTAGGGGTCATATAAACGTGTGAAAGTTTCAACAAAAGTGTCTCACTATATGTATGTTTTTTGTATTCTATATGCCGTGTAATATGTTCTAACAATTTTTTTTAACATTTTTAGTTTTTAATAGAATATGTAAGGCCTCATGCACACTGGATTTGTTTAATACTGCTCCTATTGGTGTCTGGCATTTTTTTTCTGGCCCCTAAACAGCCTGCATGTTAGCCTGTGTCCATGCACACATAGGCGTTTAAAAGCAGAAAAAAAAAATACTGCCAGCATGTCTAAGAGAAGCGTCATTTTGGCAGAAAAAAACACTTGTAAACGCATCTAAACATTAGGTACCTTTCGACCTTGAGCATTAATTCATATCAATGGCCAGAATAAATTATTTTTCTAGCCAATTAAATTAATTCATGCGCAAGAGCCTGAGATGCCTTAATGCGCTACACATGTTTAACCGCCTCCCGCCCGCCATATAGTGCAATGACGGATGCAAGGCGGTTTTCTCATTCTGGGAGGATGTCATATGACGTCATCCCATTCTAACCGCGCATGCTCGGCTCTGGGAGCGTGCAGTGCGGCTATTGGTGGTTTCCCTTGGACACAGCAGATCACATATCAACGGAAAGAGCCAAAGATGTCGGCTCGGTCATGTGATCAGCTGTGTCCAATCACAGCAAATCGCATGTAAATAGGGAAATGCCGGTTATTGGCATTTCTCTCCTCACGAGCTGTCACGCTGACAGCTCGAGAGGAGAGCCGGTAATCGGCATTACTCAGAGGGGACATGTGCACTGATCATGAGGGCACTAATGATCAGTGTGCCCTGGTGATGTGTGTATCCCCAGCAGTGCCACCTGTCAGTGTCCATCAGTGCCAGCTGTCAGTGCTCATCCATGCCACCTGCCAGTGCCCATCAGTGCCACATCAATGCCACATTTAAGTGCCTACTAGTGCACATCAATGCCACATATTAGTGCCCATCTGAGCTGCCTTTCAGTGTCACCCATCAGTGCCAGTCAGTGTCACCTATCAATGCCAGTCAGTGCCCCTATCAGTGCTCCCAATCAGTGCCGCCTATCAGTTTGCATCAGTGCCGCCTATCAGTTTGCATCAGTGCCGCCTAACAGTGCCACCTATCAGTGCTGCCTATCAGTGTCATATGAGTGCCGCCTTTCAGTGCCTATCAGTGATGCCTGTCAATGCCTATCAGTGCCACCTACCAGTGCCTCCTCATCAGTGCCACCTATCAGTGTCCATCAGTGCAGCCTATCAGTGCCCGTCACTGCAGCCTCATTAGCGCACATCAGTGAAGGAAAAAAATCACTTATTTACAAAATTTTATAACAAAAACTAAGAGAACGTTTTTGTTTTTTTTTTAATTTTCAGTGGTTTTTGATTTGTGTAAGACAAAATAAAAAACCCAGTGGTGAATAAATACCACCAAAATAAAGCTCTATCTGTCACAAAAAAATGATAAAAATGTCATATGGGTACAGTGTTGCATTACCGCGCAATTGTCATTCAAAGTGTGCCAGCGGTGAAAGCTGGAAATTGGCCTGGGCAGGAAGGGGGTATAAGTGCCCTGTAGGTTAGTGGTTAAAAACATTTTTCTGCCAAAGCACCGCTGCCAAGAGGAAAGGAGTCTAGGAGAGATGGCCAAAGCATCCTGCATGCATATGTTAGAACCCCTGCCAGTTTTATTTTAGCTGACTGTGTCAGAATAAATGTGAATAAAGCACCTGTACTGGATGGCATACACCCACGGGTCCTTAAATAATTGAGCTCTGTCATTTAAAAGCCATTTGTTTGCAATTTGTTTGGACTCTTTAACCACTTTCCTACCAGACACTTTTACCCCCTTCCTGCTCAGGCCAATTTTCAGCTTTCAGCGCTGCCGCATTTTGAATGACAATTACGCAGTCATGCAACACTGTACCCAAACAAAATTTTTATCTTTTTGAGACAGAACTTTCTTTTGGTGAAATTTAATTGCCAGTGTTTTTTTATTTTTTGCTAAACAAACTAAAAAAGACTGAAAATTTTGAAAAAAAAAAGTTTTTTTCTTAGTTTCTGGTATAAAATTCTGTAAATAAGTAATTTTTTCTCCTTCACTGATGTGCGCTAATGAAGCTGCAGTGATGGGCACTGATAGGCTGCACTAATGGGCACTGAAGAGGAGGCACTGGTGGGCATTGACAGGCATCACTGATGGGTACTGAAAGGCAGCACTCATATATGGCACCGATAGGCGGCACTGACTGGTACTGATAATCGGCACTGATTGGAACTGTTTGGCGGCACTGACGGGCACTGATCGGCAGCACTGACGGGCACTGATCGGCAGCACTGACGGGCACTGATCGGCAGCACTGACGGGCACTGATCGGCAGCACTGACGGGCACTGATCGGCGGGACTGACTGGCACTGATAGGCAGGACTGACTGGCACTGATAGGCAGGACTGACTGGCACTGATAAGTTGCACTGATTGGTGGCACTGACAGGCGTCACTGACTGGCAGTGATAGGTGGTACTGATAGTTAGCACTGAAAGGCAGCTCTGAAGGGCACTGATATGTGGCATTGATGTGCACTGGTAGGCACTGATATGTGGCATTGATGTGGCGCTGATGGGTACTGGCAGGTGGCATGGATGAGCACTGACAGCTGGCACTGATGGACACTGACAGGTGGCACTGCTGGGGATACACAGATCATCAGGGCACACTGATCATGAGTGCCCTCATCATCAGTGCACATGTCCCCTCTGAGTAATGCCGATAACCGGCATTTCCTGTTTACATGCGATCAGCTGTGATTGGACACAGATGATCACATGACAGAGCCTGTGTCACCAGTTCTTTACTGTGATCAGTGATCTGCTATGTCCCAGGGACACATCGCACCACAGATCACCGTGCGCCCCCCCCCCCCCCCCCCCGAGGGCGCGCATGTGCAGTGGGAAGGCATCATGTGACATCCTCCCAGAATGAGAGAGCCGCCGTCCGCCCATCATTTCCTTATATGGCGGGTGGGAGGCAGGTAATGACTGGCATAGTACCACTGGATTGGCCAATGTGTTGCCTATATTTAAAAAGGGATCAAAATCTTTACCAAGTAATGATAGACCTGTTAGTTTAACTTCTATAGTTGGGAAGATACTGGAGAGTTTAAAAAAAGACCACATAAGTTAGTTCTTGCTGGAAAGACTTGGATTCATGAAAGACAGTAGTTGTCAAGCAAATCTGATCTCTTTTTATGAGGAAATGAGCAAAACCTTGGACAGAGGGGTGGCTGTGGACGTGGTATACTTTAATTTTGCAAAAGCGTTTGACACAGTTCCCCACACACAGCTAATGTGTAAGGTAAAGTCTACAGGCTTGGAAAAATCTGTATGTAAACGGATAAAAAACTAGCTAAAAGATGGTATTCAGTGAGTAATGGTTTATGATTCATACTCTGAATGGTCTAGGGTTGTCAGTATTGTACCCCAAGGTTCAGTGTTGGGACTGTTACTTTTTATTATATTTATAAACAATATAGGGTCTGGGATTAAAAATACCATTTCAGTCTTTGCAGATGACACCAAGCTGTGCAGTGGAATAACGTCCTTACAGGATGTCTCCAACTTACAGGTTGACCTCAATGCACTGTTTAATTGGGCAACTATGTGGCAAATGAGGTTTAATGTTGATAAATGTAAGGTTATATGCACTTGGGGATAAGAATATGCATGCATCATACATATTAGGGGGGGTACAACTGGAGGAATCAATGGTGGAGATGGATCTGGGAGTTCTGGTAGATCACAAGCTTAATAATGGCATGCAATGCCAAGCTGCGGTTTCTAAAGAGAGCAAAATCCTCTCTTGTATTAAAAGAGGTATAGACTCCAGAGAGAGAGATATCATATTACCCCTGTACAAGTCATTAGTAACACCTCATCTGGAATATGCAGTTCAGTTTTGGGCACCAATTCACAAAAAGAACATTGGGGAACTGGAGAAAGTACAGAGAAGGGAAACCAAACTGATATGAGGCAAAGAGGAGCTCAGCTATGAGGAAAGATTAGAGGAACTGAATTTATTCTCTCTTGAGAAGAGGAGATTAAGGGGGGATATGATCAACATGTATAAATACATCAGTGGTTCATATAATGAACTCGGTGTATATTCACCCTGAAGTCATCAGAGAGGACAAGGGGGACCTCTTTATGTCTGGAGGAAAAGAGATTTAATCTCCAAATAGGGAAAGGTTTCTTCACAGTAAGAGCTGTGAAAATGTGGAATAGACTCCGTCTGGCCAGGTCAGTAGATTGCTTTAAAAAAGGCCTGGATTCTTTCCTAGATACACATAATATAAATGGATACTAATATTTGTAGGTAATGTTAATCCAGAGAATATACGATTGCCTCTCGGGGGATCAGGAAGGAATTTGTTTCCCCTACAGGAGCAAATTGGATCATGTTTTGCTGGGTTTTTTGCCTTCCTCTGGATCAACTATGGGTGTAGGATTATACCTTTTTATGGTTGAACTAGATGCATTTTTGTCTTTTTTCAACCAGACTAACTATCTAACTATCTATCTATGTATAGTGTACTTTATGAAGTTTGCTTTCCTCCAGCCCTCATTCTAAAAATAAGAAAAGCAGAAAATATCCTCTATATTTGTTCAGTGATACAATATGCAGGTACAAGCACACAGGGAAAACAAGCATTTCACATAATCCTTACAATAACAGAATCTAACATCTGTCTCTGCTAATCATGTTAACAAATGACTGATTGTCTGGAAAACATTGAAACTGTATCTGTGGGGAATTGGGCCCGGTGTGAGCGCTGCCAGTAGAATAGAATAGATAATAATTAGACATGAGCAAAAGAATATAATACGTTTCAAAACTGCTTAGCAAAACTGTATGCTTATCCATCAAAAAGTTCACATTTTCAACATTTATTGGAATCATGATTCCAAAAATCATCCATAAACATATGGCTGATATTACTTTGGATAAAGTTGACTGAATGCAGTCACAATTCAGGTGAATTAAAGATGTTTAGGCTTATTGCAGTTCTCCAGTTTTTCTAAATTTACACATCCCAACCCACCTGATCCATCCAGAGCTGTACAGTATATAAATTTAAGGGATCAAGATTTATTAAAGCCCAACTCCAGGATATTAGCAAACCCTCTCCCAACTCCCTGTAACTAACTGGTGGTATGAAAATAAAAACCTTTCCAAATGTCAGTTTTAATTCCCTGAAGCCTTGGCCACATGATGATCCTTCTTTCTTCTTCTGTTTAATTTCTGGGGTCCTTCTTCAGGTGTCCACATTGCTGCCTGATAGATGTGAAGCCCCCTATTTGTGGAGGCAGCACGTGCAGCAGCTGGGCCCTCCCCCATAGGTTTCAGAAGCCATAAAATGAGGGCGGTGAGGGGACCAGTGCCACAGAAGATAACGATCAGGAAAAAATGTATGGTCCCCAGGGCAGGAAATTAGCTTGGCTCCTAGAGGAAACTCTGGCTTTGCTCCATTATACTGGTGTTTAGAAAGACGATTGAGGAGTAAGGTAACTGATACACAATGCACTATTTACATTTAATTTCTTTCCTGGAGTTGGGCTTTAAACAATTCCTGAAGGTCCTGACCTACCCATATCTGGAGAGTATCTTCACTTATAAAAGATTTATGAACCTTGTGACTCATTGCCTACTCTAATTCTACATTACTGTTCTATTAAACATGGATCACATGGAGAGACATGTGAATGCAATGCAAAAACTCAAACATTCACAGCACTGAACAGTGGTACAGAATGCAAAACTCCAGACAACTCTGGCAGCTTTATCTGTTCAATGGAAACCTTGACCAAGAGGAAAATAAAAGCTATTATTACTGATCACCTTCTGAAAATTCTAGTTGCTGAGCTTTCTCTGGCTTTGAGAATTTTTGAGCCACAAGAATGCAGACCTAGAAATCTGAGCACATAGGGGTTGATTTTCTAAAGTCAAATAGGCTGTTCACTTTGCAAGGGAAGTAGCACTTTGCATTTTTGTTTGCACATTAATGGATGATGGAAGTCAGCAGAGCTGAACCTCATTCACTATGCCCTGGGGAAAATTCTCTTGCAAAGTAAACATTGTTTTTGCCATAGAAAATCAACCCCATAATCTCCATAGTTAAAGA